GGCCACGGTAAGGAAAGTGGCTGTACATATTTCTTCTGTACACATAGGCTTGGTTTCTTCTGGTGGATTCCGATTGCTTCAGCTGTCTGTAGAAGACGAACTGGTAAAGTAAAATTAAGATTAGTAGGAACGCGATAGATAATTTTAAATGCTGTATTAACGTCAGCCTTATGCTCGCTGTCTACAAGGTGTGCTGAAATAGAACTACGAATAGATCTTGTTTGTCCCTTACTTAAGCATGTTGAATGATATGTTCGGAAAAACGATGATGAACCTGCCTAATTGTACGCCCAATGTAGCTGGCTCCGCAGCTGCAGTCAAACTGGTAGATACACATAGAGGAGGCAAATTTAGGTAGTTTCTCCTTTTTTCTCGAACGTAGAATACGGGTGGTTGTGGAGAGACAACGTACCTCTGCTGCATAAAAAGCTCTTTTAACTGCATTCTTCAGGCGCTGTGTTATTATTTCGCTGATGTTGTCACCGAGGAACTGCAGTTTTATGAACATTGGTTTTTTCGGAACTGTTGCTATACTGACTCTCCTAGGTGCTGAATTCATATTTTTCTCAATGAATTTATCTGGATAACCATTTTTTCTAAGTAATTCTCTAATAATCTTAAGCTCCTCATTGAGGCAGTCGTCTGAACAGATTAACCTAGCTCTATGAACCAGACACTTTACCAGGTTACGTTTATATTTCAAAGGTACAAAACTCAAAAAATGAGTGTACTGACCTGTTGTTGTAGGTTTCCAATACACTCTTCTTCTTAGTGTGCCATCTTCTTTCCTTGCCTTGAAGACGTCTAGGAATGGGATACTGTCATTACTTTCTTTCTCTATGGTAAAGTTTACTGCTGAATGTGCATCATTAAACTTGTCAAGGATGTTTATTGCATCATTCTCGTCTTTCATAACCAGAAATGTATCATCCATATATCGACAGTAGAAATCCAAGTCATTAATTACTCCTTTCCTTTCCTATCCATCCCTGAAGGTTAAGGTTTCAGAACAAATGCATAGATCGATTTAAGAATAAATAAAATCGCTCCACTCAACTGACCCTGGAAATATATACTACTTAACGTCACGTATCTCGGCCATAAAGTTGATTCCACTTTTGCTTCAAACTCATAAATAATACATCTATGGGTCATAGAAAGCTATTATCATTATTAATCCCTTAGGATACGAGTGGAACACAGAACCTCATTAATCCAATCTAGTCTTCCTCGGCTGGTACGCGGCTGCCTATAGGCTTCCATTTCCTCTTTACACGGTCTCCTCTATATCATCCTTAGACACATAACCAAATCATCATTCCTCATTCGGCTTCCATTCGAGGGTGTGGTGCATGACGTCACTGAACGGTCCCCTCCTACTTTATCTATTCCATCTCCTTTTCCTTGTGCATATTGGTTGGGAAATAGGCTTTTGGTTGATATGGTAATATACTTCCTTGTGGATGTTCTTTTTTGATCGGCTATCTCTTCTTCAGGATGGAACTAAACCAGCTGCTGATGACAGTATCCAGCCTGCTCGATCTGCTATTCATGACACGTGAGTCAAGACTCTGGAACAAATAGAAACAATGACTGACTTGACATTTAGTGTTGAAAATCCGGATCTTGGTACCTATTTCGAATGTAATAGGTCTCCATACTGACTTCAGATGAAAGGAAGTGTGTTCGACTCATCCGATCTTACTTAGCTCTGACATTCTCATCTGTGTCGCCTGTGTTTGAAACGATATCGGCTACATGAGCCAAACAGATGACCTCCTCTGGATTTCTCCTATTGATAGTGATCAATGATTTTTGTTTACAAAAATATATTCTATTACTTTGAAGTAGACTTGTGAGATTCGAAGCCGTGTCAACCAATTCTGCCTGCAGTCACAAACGTTACCCCGATTGACCTCCTGTAGGGCTCTGCTGGATACTTTGATTGGACACTAGTTAATAACTAGTGTAGTGCGTTTAGTCATTTGTTTGGTGAAGACTAAATTTTGTCAGTCACCATTTTAGGTGGCGAGCCACTACCTTGCACTTTGAATTGTTAATACTAGATGGTTGGAGGCAACTGGCCACAGGAAGCCTTGCTTGACGCAGGTTTCATGCTAGTTGGCACTCGTCAGCAGGGCGTATCTATTGTTTTGAACTAGCCTTGGTAATCTAATTCTAAAACTAAGGTCTAATTTTCTTAATAGAATATCTTCATCCTCCCTCACCTTTTTCTTACCGTTTATCTACGCCCGACGCACTCCTTTACCTCACTAAGGCAGAAATAATACTGTCGAAGAGGAAAGGTTGGGCATGAGGCCAGCAACCTCATCCTGTAAAATAAACACTGCTACAGAAACTTCAAGCCACTAGCTTGAGGCCTTATGTTCCACTGGGAACGTGAAGGAAAAACAAACAACAAACAATCTACGATCCTGAACTGTAAACATTTTGACCTATATCCATTTAATTTTGACCCTTCAGAGTCTGATACCTTTTAGGCAAGCATACCTGACAAGTACGTGTGTGATCAGATGACTTACTCAAAGATGATAATGTATATTAACAGTTGACGAAAAACCCTATACAAACATTAGATCACAAAATCAAAATAACATTAAATAAACTAACGAAACCAGGACAAATTACAAAGCAAGCGATCAGTGGGGACTGAAATCTAACGGACCTGTTTTACCTCGATTTTACGGTAGACCGAAACTAAACTAAACAAACCAGATACTCCCTTACAAACACCAATCATTTCGCCGCGGGGAACGTCAACAATTAATCTGTCAAAACAAACTTTTCAGAAAATTTAAATATCTAACAGAATCATGTAATCATTCTGTCAATTCGCCAACTCAATGATTTTAGAGAAAATCAAAAAAATATTCATCTGAAGGATGACAATGAAATCACGATGTCCTTTGATGTCACAACATTGTATGCTTCAATTGGTCCAAAACTAGCAAAAGAAACTATGCAATAACTAATCTGCAGCGATGAGAACACAAAAACGCAGTGATGTTCAACTTGGACGGAACTTATAGAATTATGTCTTACAACATACTTCCAATTCAATAAGCAAATATACGAACAGGTAAAAGGAACATCAATGGGATCATCGCCCATATCCCGATTAATAGCTGAAGCCATTATGCCCTACCCGTAATTAAACCAAAAGTCTGGGTACGTTACGTTGATGATACATTTGTAATAATTAAAAGAATTGATTTGGAATATACCCACAAATTAATCAAATTATTGGTATACGAGCTCACCTTGTAACCAGAAGGTCTTGGGTTCGAACCCCGGTGGGTGCGTGCTGCCGATGATTTCCAAACTAGGATGAAACAGTTGTCCAGTACTCCAGTGCTGGTTTTCAATGGCTCTCTAACTGATATCAATCCGTGATCAACTCGTAAAAAACAAAACTAATCCTTACAAATCACCTATAGAAAATATAGATATTTGAGTAGCCATGAAGTGTGTATGATCAACGCCTCATCATACAACAGACATCACCCATCCCCACTAACATTAGCATGCATATAGCTGTTGAGTAACACATACCATGAAATAGCAAGTAACACGGCTCAGCAGTTCGTTCTGTCATACTTTACGACTAAGAGAACTGATTGTTCAAGTTGAAAGCTACGAAAGAGCTTCATGTTTTCAATTTTAGATGTTTTTCATTTTATTGCTCACATGAGACAGCAAAAGAAAGTGGATTAATGCAAAGATTAGGTCAAGTATAAGGAAGGAAGGACATATCTATCAAGAAGGTGATAACATGTCACTAATTAAGCTGATTGGAATATGAATTCAGCGTGCCAAGCCACTCTCTTCCCAAGAAGACAATGTTTGCTGAAGTATTATTTAGGGGGCTTCAAGCTAGAGCTTTGAAGTTTCAGTAGTAGTAGGCTTTTTTTCTTTTTACGGGGTGGGGTTATTCCACATTAGTTTGTTTATTAGATGTATCACACAGTGAGTGAAACAATATTATTTACTGGATGACGTTTCGAACACAATTCATTATTGTTCATAATCATTTCGTCAATTATAATCACAAGACTTCGAAACTTGAGTTTTATAGTTTTCTTTGTTCTCTCCTATTTGTCGTCGTAGGGGTAGTAGAATTTTCCACATATCTGGGTGGACAGGTGTTGATTCGATAAACAGAACTTCTGTTATCAATCTCTCCCTCCACCCTGTGACATTAGATTTTAAAACTGTCATCCTATCCCATCCTATTGTATGGTTGTGTGTAACTGCATGTAGTGCTATAGCTCAACTATTCTCTAGATTTCTTATCTTATTTGGGTCAACCAATCTAGATTTTGCTGCTAGGTTTTTATGTTCGGCTAGTCTGACTGCCCCTGTTCTACTAGTTTGACCTATGTATTTGACCTGACAATCATTCCGGCAGGGTATTAGATAAACTAAATTTTTGTTTAATTGGCTCCACAGGATTGATCCTCTAACCGACAAAGCTTGTTTCTGATTGAGTTTGTGGGTTTGAATGCTATCCACCTTTATTCCTGCCAGCATTGTTAAGAATTCTCCTCCATAAGGTTTCCGAGGTTCCTTCTTTGTATGGAATTACTACTGATGATTTAGATTCCTTATTGTTGGTGTTGTCACTATCTAGCTCATATTTGCCATGCATGTCGTCATTAATATTATTATTATTATCACTATCACTACTATCATTATTTATTTTATTTTTACATTTCCTTACATATTTCCTGACTAATTTATCAGGGTAATTATTAAGTTTCAAGGCTTCTCTTATACGTATCACTTCCTGTCTTAGATTTTCCTTGGTACTACTAAGTGGGGTTATACTAGCCTCACACCCAACCTTCCCTCTTTACCGGACTTACTACCGGCTTAGCGAGACGTAGGAGTACCGCGGTGGTTAGCGAGCCTTCTACTGCTGAAATAAGGTTTCCTTGAAAGAAAGATGCAGACGCGCAGACAAAAATAAACACCAATTTTTCTGAATATAAAATATAAATTCTTTTCAACACAAAAATATTTATTCCGATATAAAATAATACAAAACATAATATCCCGAAGTATTAGATTGGATCAGTGTCCGGGGAATAACGGTGCTTGTCTACTTTTTGAACAATAAATCTTTCACACTGAGCTTGCTTACATTAGGTACATAACGTATAGTTACTGAAACACGTTTACCACGTCGGTGTGATTGTGGTTGAATATCATTCAGATTGATGGCAGACCAATTATGAATTACAGCGGTATTATCAACTGCTTTCAACGAAGACATTGAAGAATTACTTTCATCATCATATTGTATTAGTGAGTCAGTTTCACGTTGTGCAATACCATGCATGTAGTGGGTGTACATGTCTTCAGTAAGTATATTTAAACTACACCGTTCAAGATAAACTGAACCGATATAACGATCCTCTAGTAAAGTTGATTGTTCCTTCTTAGAAACAAAAAGGAAAAAGAAAAAAATAGTGAATTACTATAAAGAAAGTGATTTTAATAAAGAAAAGAAACCTGGACTGGACAATATCTTCACTATAACAGCTTTTGTCCCATAAGCTATAAACGTGGATTAGTGAGGACTTTGTACGACAGAGCCAGGAAGCTATGTTCACCAAACAAGGTCGAAGAAGAACTAAATTTCGTCGAGAAATGCCTGAGGGAAAATGGATACCCTAAAGGATTTATACAGAAGTATAGCAGAGAAAAAGATAAGAAAGAAAAGCATCCAACTGTAGAAAAGAAAAAAGTGTTTATTTGTCTCCCATTCAAAGGAGATGCAGTGTCACAAAAGATTGACAGAAGACTGAAAGGAGCAATAAATAGAAGCTTCCCGGCAGCAAAACTCATAACAGTATACAACACCACTCCTTCTATAATCCACTGAAAACTGGATAAATACCCTGCTGATGTCACCTCCAACTGCGTTTATGAATTTACATGCACTTGCGGGAGCAAGTACATTGGAAGGACAGAAAGAAGGGCTTCTCTCAGGTTTTCTGAACATATTCCAAGAAACCTATGCCTGAAAGGAAGCAAATATTCTCAGAGTGCAATTACCAGACATATTGTTGGTACCGGACATCTCGTAGAGATTTCTAAGTCCTTCAAAATATTAAACAGACAAAGGACAGCAAATTTACTACGATTTGCCGAAGCGATCGCAATCAAACGATTCAAACCAACCAGACTTATGCATACAGAAAGAAAGTGTGATTAACCTCTCACTCCCTTGGTAACTGAATTTCGATTTTGATTACAATAATGAGTCATCTAATTCAGTGATCTCAACTCGCTGAACAAATCTTAATTTCATAAACTGTAACCGCCTTTGTTATTTGGAATTGCTATGTGAACCTACAAGCTAAGACTGTTTCTGTTAATCAATTTTTCTGTTTTCTGTTTTACCCCTCCCCACTCTTTTCAACTTTGAAAGTGTATAAATTGATGATGAATACTTAAACTAAAAATTGTAATGCTTTCATTCTTTTTTGGATGCGTCAGTTTTATCTCTTCTCTACTACTACTTAAACATTAAAGTATGTTATTATCATTTATATAACCATTACAATTTCAGGTAGTCTGCAGCTGATGAGAACCTGTGAAATAGAATGATATCATTTTATACTGCAAATTTCGTCTTCCTTTCTTTATCGAAATTTATCAAGGGAACCAGTTGTAAGAAAGTGATTTTACCTGATCTGTATCTCCTCTATCCAATGGTGTATAGAAATCTAAGACACCGTAAGAATTCAAGTTGATTGTAGCCACAACAGGATAATATAGCGGTCCATCATGATGAGGCTATATTGAGAATGAATTGGTAAAAAAAAACACAACATAACTCATAAAATAAATATTAATAACAAAAGAAAGTAATGCAATTCATTATAATTTATAGTTAAAATTAAGAAATTTTAGAAAAAAATTAACCCAGTCAATAAGTGCGTGGTTAAGTGGTGTACTTTGCAAACCATACACGTCCCGTGTTAGGTGATGGTATCATAAGGTGAGCAATACTGAGGTTAGGCATCGGTGGTCGAGTGCTAGGTAGGTGGTAAGGAGGGGGAATCAATCGACGAGGTGGTTGTGGAGCTACTACACCGATTGAGAGAGATGGTTACGACATGTGTTACGCATACCACTGAGCCATCGATCGCCTTCCTCAACCGACGGGAAATGTCAGCTGACTGAAATAGGATGGAAGAGATTGGAAAAAAGAAAGCTAGTGGTCGTGAAACCAAAGCATGGCTACATCAGTCAATGAAATCCATAATAGTTAGTTTAAGTCAGCCACGTAGGGAGATGTAGACTTCCTGACTGGTTGAGATCCTCGGGACGGTAAAAACTAATGAAGACTGGAGACAATTGGTGATATGGCTCACAATCGTTCACGGCGATGACATACATGCATTCACTCTTCGTGATTTAGCATGTCCAATAAAACTCTATTGTTGGTATTAGCTGGTTGAAGGCAATCGGGAGGAAGCCTTGAACCTAGGTTTCGTGCTAGTTGGCACTCATCAGCAAGGCGTATTTACAACCTCCAAGGAACTTATGTCCCTTCTGAGATTCGAACCCGCGTCACCCAGTGCTGCAGTCAGAGACGTTACCACTGAGCCATTCAGACTCCCGATTGACCTCCTGTAAGACTGACTATGGGATATTTTTGATTGGACACTAGTCAGTAATGTATCTAGTCCTATCTTCGGTGCAGACTGAATTCTATCAGTCAAGCTTGTAATGTGGACACTATGCTAGGTGGCTCGCCATCACGGTCCACTGTGAATTGTTGGTATTAGATGGTTGGAGGCAATCGGCAGGAAGCCTTAGACCTAGGTTTCGTGTTAGTTGGCACTCATCAGCAAGGCGTATCTAAAACCTCGAAAAAAATTCAAGTTGTTGTTCTCCTATATTACCATTCTGTTTGCCTGATATTTCTGTTTATTATCTCTCTCTCTCTCTTTTGAGTTTCTATTTACTCTCTTCTCTTGCTTTGTGTGCTACAAGGAGGGAGTGTGGCAACTCAAACTGCTGCACATCTATGCAAAGTTCTACGTTGAGACCAGTCAGTCAGCCAGGCAAACACACAAACATTTATCGATCTAATACTAGTAACAATTCTCAACTATAGAAAGCGGTATTTAGCTATCACTTCATAAAAATACAAAAATAATCGTTTCAGTATCAAACATCCAGACTATTATTGTACATTGGTCGAGGGGGTCGATCTATAACCTCAAAGTTTTGGGTCCAATTTCTGATGGCGTGGTACGTGCTCACTAATGAAGAGGTCAACATTCGGCTGAAACAGTTTTTCAGTGCGCCTTGATTCTAAGTGGCTCTCCAACTGATGTAGCTTCGTAATGACAGCCAAAATGAAATCAGTCAAGTGAATACAACTCAAAACTTGAAAAATATTCGGTATCACATAATGAATAATGAAATGCTACACAGCAGTCTGATATATCTGTCTCATGCTGCTGTTAAACGCTTACAAAATCATGTAACACAAGCTCTTCGATTGTAAATGAAGCATTGTGGGAAGGAAACAATGTTAAAATAATAAAATATAAGAACAACAAAGTTTAGCGAAGAGTCGCTTTTCGACGGCGAATTCATTCACTTAACTGTACAGTCGCATTTATATATAACTCTTCCTCTGTTTCAAATCACCGAAAATATCCATTCATTCATGAAGAAAATAAAAGACAAATTCAGCGAAGAAAATTTTCTTTACCAACGAAATCATCTTCAGAGGCTGTACAGTCGTAATTATATTTACCAATTATGTATAGTAGTCTATTATAGAGTAATAGGCGGAAGGGCGACATAATTGATATAATAACTCAGAAATGGCTTAAGAAGTGAAAATTAAAAGTCGTAAATTACGCAGAACTCAACGATACTGCGAAGGAAGAAGTGGCTAGAAATTTGATGAGGTTAAAATTGTTATTGAGTGAGAATAAAGGCAGTTGAGTGTCCAAGTATGAACAAGTGTGAAGAGGGTGTGAAAATATACAAAAGGAACATATGAGACTGATAATAGTGAATTAGTTATTAAAGTAAAAGCAAAGTAAAAGTAAAATTGGGAATTTAAAAAAATTAAAATTTTTTACGGGGAACGACTAGTGAAGAGATCAAGACGAAGGTAGAATAAGAGACTGGACAAACGTTTTCTGTATACAGAGTTGGGGTTGTATTGACGAATTGCCAGCGCCTCCACCATACACAAAAGCCGAAACCTGACGCCCTTTGTACTATTTGGCCTCATTTTGTAGATGATCTTGAAAGATGACTCTAGTGGAGCTACGTGGCTTCAGTTCACCAAGTGCTCGAGAATTGAGCTAGTAACTGTCTTGCATTGTCTTTTTGCTAACCATGACGGATAATATTCAGAGATGCGTTTAGAAAGTTTGCGCTTTATGTGGCCAATATAACTAGCTCCACACGAGCAGGTGAATTTATAAACACACATTGAAGTGGCCCGTCCAAAGCTGTAGTTTATCCTTCACACATCCATTGATCAATTGTCGGCTGAAGAAATTGATCCGTAGCTCAGCCATAAAGAAGGATTTTCTCAGTGATCTGCATAATTGATTTTTCAGGACCTCAGCTGCGGTATCAACTTTAAATCCAACGTTCAACAATAGCAGTTTCTTCGGCACCGTCTGGATTCTTTCAGGGTTTTGCTTAAACTTCATGTTTTTCTCGATATATCTTGAAGGATATCCTTTTTCTATGAGGACTTGTCTGAGTCGCTCCAGTTCCCCATCGATTGCATCACTGGCACATATCCTTCTTATTCTTGAGGATAAGGAGTAGATCAGGTTTCTCTTTCTTCTCAAAGGGACCCAGCTATTTATCAATACAACCTCGAACTCTGTGTAGAGAAAAAGTTTGTCCAGTCTCTTATTCTACCTTGGTCTTAACCTCTTCACTAGTCGTTCCCTGTAAAAATTTTAATTTTTTAATTCTCATTTTTACTTTTAGTTTGCTTTTACTTTAATAATTAATTCACTATTATCAGCCTCAATGTTCCTTTTGTACATGTTCATACCCTCTTCACACTTGTTCACACTTGGACACTCAACTGCCTTTATTCTCACTCAATAACAATTTTAACCCCATCAAATTTCTAACCATTTCTTCCTTTGCATTATCGTTCAGTACTACGTAAATTACGACTTTTAATTTTCACTTCTTAAGCCATTTCTGAGTTATTATATCAATTATGTCGCCCTTCCGCCTATTACTCTATAATAGACTACTATACATAATTGGTAAATATAATTACGACTGTACAGCCTCTGAAGATGATTTCGTTGATAAAGAAAATTTTCTTCGCTGAATTTATCTTTCATTTTTTACATATAATTATTTTGTGTGTGTATGTGTGCACATTAGGATTGTCAAACAAAAATAAAATAAAAGTTATTTAGGGTTACTGTTTACGTCATCGAAATGTTTCTAAATGTGATGAATAATCAAAATTGTAACTAGAAAGGGTGGTGAAGATTGGTGAGTATTGACAAGAGTTGTGTAACATGAAATTTCCACTTCTTTAAGAAGAACTTTCTTGGCGGCAACATTGAGAGTAGTGTTCTCCAGTCGCCCGCTGATCTGCAGAACCCCGAAGGACAAGATCCCGTGCCTGACTACTTCTATGTGTATATATCAGTTCACCTGTTGCTGTGGAGCCAGCCAGGTACATCGGTCGTTCGACGTGCATCCTGTCAAAAAGGGTCAAAGAACACTATCCAGCGTGGCTGCAGGAAGGAAGTGGTGGCCATATAAGGAGAGTTAGAAGAACCAGAACTATGCATACAAAAGAAAATTATTCAACCACTTCTACTATCATCGTAACAACTCTGTTGATTTGACTTAACTTTTGCTTGTATGCTTATTTTTCTAACTGCTTAAAACTCTTGCGTAATTCCGTATGTTACTTTGTTTCCATGTACACCCTGAGCACAACTCTTTCACGTTATTACGTAACTCTTCTTTAACAATCATTTGTGACAACTCATCACTTTTGTTACTATCCTCTTCTATCAACATCTAATTTCTCTGAACTTACTAATTGTATTTCCGTTTGCCAAATTTAATGTACACACATACAAAACAATTCGCCGAAAAGAGACTCATCGCTGAACTACTGGTTTTCTGTCTATTAATATGAAATAGGATGTTAATGGGAAGACGTGTCCAAGAAATAAATTATGTAGTGGGTAGGAAGAGTAAATAAGGGGTTGATTAGGAAGAAGATGTTACTAAGATGCCATACAAAAATTCAAAAAACAAAAAAAGAAAACAAAACATTATTAACAAAGTCGTAGAACTTGAAATTATACCCAAGGTAGAAGGAGGGGGTGGAGAAGTTTCTTCTGTGTGCATAAGTCAGGGTTTCGTATCCGGATCGCTAAGGCCTCGGCAATGCAAAGTATACAGAAGCTTACCTACCATTTTCAGGAGGCTTCTTTTGACTTTTTAGATGACTTTGAATGAATTCTCCGTGCATATTGAGTGACCAGTGTTGACTATATGTTCAATTATAGCACTCTTTATTGATCCACTGTTACCTTTTCGTAACCAAGCGGGATAATGTTCTTTGACTCTTTTGGATAAAACACGCATCGAACGACCTATATATCTCACTCTCTCTACATGAGCAAGTAAACTGGTAGATACACGTAGAAGTGGTTAAATGCGGTAGTTTATCTTTGGAGTTGTTGAGGAACAATGGGCGGCTTGAGAATACCAATCGTAATGTAGCAGCAGGGAATGTTCTTTTCACAGCTTGTCATGACACGTGTCTCCACCAACATCCTATTTCATATTCCGCAACCCTTGTCAATACTTACCAATCTTCACGACCCCCTCCCCTAGTTACAATTTTGATTATTCATCACATTTTAGAAACATTTCGATGACGTAAACAGTAACCCCAACTAATTTTTATTTTTTTTTTGTTTGGCAATCCTAATGTACACACACACGCGCACAAAATAAATATATATAAGTGCGATCGTACGTGAATGAACTCGCCGTCGAAAAGAGACTCTTCTCTAAACTTTTTTGTTCTTATATTCATGTCTGGATGGGTATTTCCCCTGAAAATAATAAAAGATCAAGTCTACAGTAAATGAATCAGAACTTGAATTCGGTCCCCACTTCAGTGACTTCAGTTTTGCGGACTGAGTAAAATTATCAGCATTGATACAATACGTGCGTATCACAGCCTCGTAAACAATAGTCTTGTTATGCGTCACTAAATTCAAATCTTAATTACACTATGCTTTCACTATATAAGCTAACAAAAATACATGTTTCATCATACTGCTTATATCTATTTTATTTATTTACTTTTTATTTTATTATAGCTTGACTCCATACAGTATTTTTTATACAAGTATGGAATTTTCAGCATGTGATATCGGTGGCCCAAATTTTGCAGGCCAGACATTGATATGGGGTGTGCGTCGACCGGGGATCGAACCCCGGACCGTGTGTGTGGTCGGCGAGCGTCCTAACCGCTGTGCCACCGAAGCACGATAAAGGGAGGACCGTGAGGCCAGCCCACTGACAAAAACTACACGCCTGAGCGCACCCAATTAGGGGCTGTTACGAGTTTCAGCCCACCGAGGTGCAATGGTGAGCCTCCACCCGGAGTCAGAGCATTCTTGATCACCCTGAACCCGGCGCCAGGAATTTTGGATTGAAACAGTAAAGACATAAAAACCTTGAATTTTTAGACAATACTTTACTGCTACTACACCAAAGGTAGAACTGCACAATGCGTTATTGTAGCGTTGTAAGCTACCATTAAGCGTGCAGCTATGAAATGATATCAGCTGCTGTCAGCCTCACAGTTCACTGAATGACATAATGGCGGAAATATCAGAAAGCAATAACCTCATTAACCAACACACTACACAATAAGGAAAAGTCAGGCGACGAAGTCAGCTCGACAACTGAAAATCAGTTAGCCCTACCAACCTTGCCTTGTATATTAGTTGGTCATCAACGCGGAGGTTAAAAGGAGGATTTAAGTACCAAGACAGATTTCCATTGACCTGAAATCAGTGTGGAGACCTACTACGCTCCAAATGAGGACCAAGATCCGGATCTTCAACACTAATGTCAAGTCAATCAGTGCTTCTATCTGGTTCAGAGACTTGACTCAAGCGTCATGAATAGCATATCCAAAAGACTGGAAACTTTCATCAACAATTGTTTCAGTTTCATTCTAAAGATGAGATAGCGCGTCAGAAAGGAAAAGGGATAAGGAACCAATGGTAACGAACAAATCAAAGACCTATCTATCACCTACAAAAATATGCACAACTCGAATATACCCATTATGATAATTATCAAACACGATATTAGCAACTACGTGTTTTCAGGAAATTCTCATCAACCTTTACAATTACACAGTCATAGACATATTCGAAACAGCGTCAATCAATAGAATCAAAGCTCAGGAATGTGAGTTAGTGGATTACAATAGAAGTGATCATAATAATAATAATAAATTCATTCAAGTGTTTATATAATCTAAGTATTCGTGAATATGTAAGTAGAGTGTATATAGTAGTAGAGGTAGGAGGGGGTGGGTGAAATAACTATTGTCATTTAGAGACCACATGATATTATAATGACAAGAATAAATTTAGAACTTAGCTTAAAATATGCAACTATACCATATCATGATATAGCTATAATATAGTTGGCAGTACAAATAAAAATAAAATAATATTTACAATTATCCAGTGTCTCCGGGAGACGCAACTATTCTAGGTTGGGGGTGAAGGCCATGGAATGAGACGAACTTAACAAACTCTTTCTATACAACACAGAGACTGAGTTGACAATTTCATTATGAAAACTGCCTTAGTTATGCTTAGCAATCGAAGACTTACAAACTCAGGCAACTAAGCTGGTACCTTGTATGGAATGGGATTCGCGCCCGCCAAATGTAGGATGATGCATCCTACAGGACTGGACTACATTGACTCCTACCTTAGAAATAGGGAGTGAAGTGGTAGAGCACGTTGACCGCTTCACTTATTTGGGAAGTTGCATCAGCCAATGCCAGCGGGTTGATCGCTGACGAAATCTCAGCACGGATACAGAAGGCTAGTTTCGCATATGCCAGTTTACGCCGTCTCTGGCGTAGACGTGATATCCAGCTACCAACCGAAAGGCGAGTGTACAGCTCAGCAGTCCGCTCCATCCTCCTTCATGGCTAATACTTGGCCATTGAGAGTGGAAGATATGAAAAGATTAGCTGTCTTTGATCATAGGTGCCTGCATTCTATCTTCCGTGTGAAGTGGTATAGTAGGGTGAGCAATATTGAGGTTAGTCATCCATCCATTGTGCGTCGGTGGCACAGTGGTTAGGACTCTCGCCGACCATGCACATGGTCCGGGGTTCGAGCCCCTGCCGGCGCACACCCGATATCTATGGTATGCCTGAATTTGGGCAACCGATATCCATGCTGAAAATTCCACACTTGTACTGAAAATACGGTGTGGAATCAAGCTGTAAATCAAAAAAAAAATCAATTGCTAGGTATAGATGGGAAATCAATAGACGAGTCTGTGAAGATACATCGATTGAGACGGTTAGGACATGTGTTACGCATGCCTAGCCATAGCCTTCCTCGACAACGGGCAATGTTAGCTGATATAGGGTCAGGCTGGAAAAGAGCTAGCTGCGGTCAAACCAAAACATGGCGCCAGTCAACGAAATTCACAACAGTTAGTTTAAAACATGAAGGAAGGTGCAGACTTCTTGGTTGGGTTCCTCGGGACGGTAAAAACTTATGACTGGAGACAGTCAGTGATATGGCTCAAAATCGTTCTCAATGTAGCGCAGATGCATCCACCCCTTGCGACTTATAATTTCCAATGAAACTATATTGTTCTTCGATATTACTATTCTGTTTGCCTCATATCTCTCTTTACTGTCTCTATTTTGCGTTTCTTTTTATTTTCTTCTCTGGCTTTGTGTGCTACCAGGAGGGAGTGTGGCGACTTGAACTGCTGCACATCGGTGCAAAGTTCTATGTTGAAAACAGACAGAGAGACACACTCTACTTACACATTCACGACTACTTAGATTGCATAATCACTTGAATGAATTTAACCTTGTCATTATTATTCTTATGATGATGATCGCTTCTGTTGTTATCCACTAACTCACATCCCTGAGTTTTGATTCTATTGATCGACGCTGTTTCAAATATCTATGACTAATATTTTATTACGTAAATGTAAAGACTGGTGAAAATTTCCTGGAAATACTTATTTGCCTAATCCGTAGTCTATAAATACGCATAAGGAAATAGAGGTGAATTGGATATATGCTGAGGAAAGCATTGATTACCAACAAGCGCCAGGCGCTCGAGTGGAATCTGAATGAGAAGCAACGACTTCAGGGGAGCGTCCGACGGCGATATGAGATACATCTGTTTGACGAGGAAATGAAAGCTTATAGACAATCTTGAACCTATCCAAAAAGAACTGCAAAAAACAGTAAAATGGCAAAGTGCTATTGAAACCCTGTATTCTACTCCGAACCCAAACTAATATTATTACTTTACATACCATCACTAGCTCTCACATTGAAATCTATAGCCTAGAGTACGTGAAATAAGTAGATTGGTAGAATGCGTTTCTAATGACAACAGAAAAAACTTAAGAAATACTCCGTCCTCCTAAGCAAACAAACAAAAGTAGTGAACTTACAAGTATGCCTTGTCCACATTCATATTCATTTACTAATGCATGATTGGCTTTATTCTCATGGAATAGATTTAAAGCTGAAACTCGATTCATGTATACTTGTAACCACTAAAAAATAAACAGACTATATTTTTAAATTCATCAAAGATATTAAATGAACCTGTGGAATTTTTTCAACCAGCATGCCTTTAACATGCGGTAGGCCACCCCAATTTTGTAATCGTCTGTCGCGTAAGGCAACCCATTTCGGCAAAGGTGAAGCATAAATGTGCCTTAATAAATCTTTCTCTTCTTCTTCACTTATAAAATTTGGTATGTAGAAGAATTTTGATGGCAACGATGAGACACGATAATCCTCCAATGAAGTTAACATAACCACTACCTGTTAATTGAAAAATTTAGGATAGATAAAGTTGTAAAACACTTAACAAAAGATTCGTGAAACGCTTTAAATTGAAAGAAAAAAGTAAATACCTCAACTTTATGTCACGGTTGAACGGTTCGCATCGCATACATAGCATACAGGAATAAAAAAAAATCTCAAAAGAAGTATGATGGATTCAAAAATGTACCGGAGAAAGGATAATTACACGGGGAAACATTACAACTTGATGGATCTAGGGCATCTGTGCCACTGAGAATGATTTTGAGCTGTATCACCAACAGCCTGAAACCATTGGTACTTAGCATCTCAAGGACCCAAGCCAGACAGTTTACACCGACTAATGTGGTTCGAATCAACAGTCGAAGACTTCATGGATTGATAACAGGTTTTGATTTGGCCACTCCGAACTTAATCAATACCACTTAACACGGGAGAAAGAACGGAAACATCCTTCGTTAAAGAGAGATAACCTCTTTATATCTCCCACTTCCAACGATCAAGTCTTATTGCCAGAAAGGAAAGAGCGAACCGCTATGCGCCATACACGTCCCCTGGTCGACAGCTGGATATCACGTCTAAGCCAAAGATAACGTAAGCTGGCAAATACCACACAATTAGTGAAGTGATAGACCCGCTTAACCACTTCACGCCCTCCATTATAGATAAGATTTTATTTTCATAAATCACAGTAATACAGTAATATTAACTGATGATGTTTCGAACACAAATTATTTCTGATAATCATATCAAGTTACTTACACAACCACAGTGCCCAAGTTTTACACTAATGTCAATGATACACTTAACGCCCTATCCTCAAACTAGGAGTCAACACAGATCAGTGTTGCAGTATCACCCGACAATTGACAGTGGGGAATTACGTGACAAACATTCCAAAATTTTAGCGGAACAGAACGAAAGCAACTACAGTCAAAGACCTAAACTCTCTTACAGCTCATGATTTCAACAAACACTTTTCAAAGCCTTAAGACATAACCGAATGAGCTGCTGAGCCATGCATTTACTATTTCATCGTATGTAACTTAACAGCGATATGTATGCTTATTTACCTGGTGATCAACGGCTACAGTATCCCAAACTTACAATAATGCGAAAATTATACTGGTAAAATCTGAGCTAACGTTTGTATCAGTGGCAGGTGATGAAAAGATGCTCTAGTGGCAGGATTCTCCGCATTTAATGGTATTGTGCTATTACTTGGTGGATAACCGAACCTTCATACGTGAGCTTCAAGCGTGTAGTCCATGGGCTAGATATCGGATAATCAATCTAGTGATAGTACCACTTTCACTCGATAGTGCAAGCCTGCAATAATTTTGAGTCGATTTCAACCATGCGTAGATAATGCGATTTAATGCCAATCGGTTGTGTGTGATGTAAGAAAACTAACCTGTGGTTGAAAATAGCACTTGAGTGCTATCGACAGATGATGAACTAATTAGGTCTACCGAGTAGTGTAAACACACCGGTGGTCAGTGCAAATGACGAAATGATGCTGAAAAGATATTGTCCAAGACTTTACTTGAATTATCCTGGCGTAACTGTAAGCTATGGAGGTGACAGAATATTATGCCGACACCAGGGTGGATCCTTGCAAGTATAGCACCATCCAGTTAGCATAAACTACTGACACACTGCAGAAACTTAGGAGTAAAACCGTCGGGTCAAATGCAGAAAGTGAAACATAATGCCATTAAAAGCTGGGGAAGTTTCTGCAATGTACCCGATGCTTGCCTCAAAGTCTCTGCAGTGTGTCCGAATTCAATACTAGCTGGGCAGTCAACTGTCGTCAAATTCCTGAGATGAATCGTATGTCTTAACATTGTAGGTTGGCCAGCTTCTCCCTTAGTATGATTTAACTATTACTCAAGTACGAATGAGTCTTCATAATGCAAAAAGCCTACGAATACGTGAAATACTGCTTGGGCAAATGTATTAACAATTACATATGAAGACCTACCAATCAAAATCTCGTAACGCAGTATCTATACTTTGCGGTGGGACTTATCGCGACGATTGGTTGAGATTTCTCTTGGTGCAGTTTTCTGTGGATAATTCGTACTAAAACTGTGATATATGTTGTCTGGATTGGTGGAAAATCTGATTTTTCAGCATGCCATGTTGCTGTGCGCGCTATATGATCTCATTGCGATACACTCTAAACATATAGGTATAAAACTTGGGCACTGTGGTGGTAGAGTATAACTCCACTATGAATAAAATTTTATTTTGACAAATCACACAGTGTTTCACAGTAATATTTACTACTGATGACCACAAACTACTGCTCATAATCATATTAAGTCATTCCCATAACTTTTTGCTTCAATATACATAAGTAAAATTGATGATTGGACATTTGAATAAAATCAATAAAGTATATTCGGAAATAAAATGAGGGTTATCAGCCAAATATAATAAAATGGGAAATAAGATGTTTTTATGTTAAAATAAATAAATAACTTGTTAGAATGTTATAATCTGAATTGAATACATTTTAACATTACTTTTTATCCTCTGGCTTGACTCACAGTTATAATATATTGTATTTCTCTAGTATTTATGTCAGGTCACTTGTGTTGGGCATGTGCTGGGTGTGTAGACTCGATGAACCAGTATCCAGTAATCGATCTCTCTCTCTTTCCATATACCCATATTGCTCCTTAGAATTTTGACTCTGTCTCACCCTATTGTGCGGTTGTAAGTTAGTGCATGCATGCAGTGCAATGCGGTGCTGGAGTTTATTCCAAATTATCTTTGTGGGATCAATCATTCTAATTTTAGCTAAATTCTTATGTTCTAACAATCTGACTACCCCTGGTCTACTAGTTCGACCTATGTAACTGACTTAACTCACATTCATGGCAAGGTAATTTGTAAATTATATTATTTTGTTTAATTGGGAAGGCTAAAGGATTCGCTTGACCCGATGAATATGTTAAACTGAAATTCATTTTTCTCTCGGCATATATGATTTTTACATCCTGTTGACTCACGAGCATTCAGTGAATGACTTCAAAAGTCATAATTCAAACCAATCAGAAATGGCTGTAGTAAAGTCAATGTTGGTTGTTCCATCATAATAGGAAAGTGTTATCATATATCTTGCAAAACGATATAAAAAATAAATGGCATACTGTTGTCCACCGAGTCTTCGAAGTACTGTAGCTGAATGCGAGACCTCAGTTGTGGCTTACAATCGGTGGTTTTGTTGGAGTAACAACAAACTGGTAAGCTGATTATTATTCATGAAAAAAACGCTGACAGCTTACAAATTGTCCGTTCCAGTTCCAATAAATAGATTGAAATATACCACAAATTCCTGAAGGTTGTGGATTTCGATTCCACTTACAACACTAGCGAAGGAAAGTCGGTGTAGATGTTTTCTGAATCTAATACATGAAGTTATAAACTATTCCAATTTTTCGTTACGGGGCACTATTTGGGGAGTCTGCCGGTGATGTTTGCATGAAACAGATACGAAAGGATAAGGGATGAAACCTCAGATTTGGATAAATTTAAGGGCATTATGGGCTTCACATATGATACTGAAACTTTTATGATGGACTGCTCAAAAGTGTTAAACGGTGAAGTGAAAACAACGTGCCCATTTCGCAGTACACATATAATATTGTGCACATTCCACTTTTGCCGTGCCGTGTATAAGAAAGCAATTGTTGGCGAATTTCCAGGATGCTTTTTGGGTATAAGCAGAATTGTTGAGCAGGACATATCCAGCATGATTCACCAGGAATCAACCAGAGTGTAGGTTTGTAAACGAATTGACGATGCCTGTAAACTGGCGTCCATCATGTAAAAAAATGGGAATATACTATTATTATTATCTACAGATTTTACAAATACCTCAGTACAATATATCGCATAGATGTCCATGTTGGGAGATACATACGCAAGTAATGGTTAACTTAGAAGGAATTACGGGTAGATGTATTCAACCGTAATGGATTATCACTTGGCAATAATACCAACAATAGTGTTAATTGTTTGCACAGGTTGGTCAAAAGAAACTTGCGAAGAGGTATTGATGCTCTGCACAAATCTATGTGGAATGTGCACCGGTAAAATGACAGGAGGTTGCAGAGGAAGGAGGGTAAACAAGGTATTAAGATATGAACAGCCAACAAAAGTTTACCTACTTTGCAGCCTTTATTGTTAAGGTTAACCGAATATGCCGGTAGGAAGGTAGTTGCGAATTTCAAAACCATATTTACAACTGTGTTTTGTCATCGATGAGTCCACATATCCGGTAGTTGATAAGGTGCAAGGTAAATGCACTTGCAGAGTGTTACCACCTACGGTGATTACGGACCATGCAGGCCGAAGGAAAATTGAACTTATTGTGCTAAAGTCGGATACGTATTACTGATGGACAACCGCTGCATTCAGATCTAGAACACTAGTCATTAACAGCAACAGTTGATGCTTGCCTTTTAAGACTTTTCTGATCATTATATCACATTTGTTTCATAAAGTATGTGTAAACCGCATATGTTCATACTTCAGAGGTGGTTAACTCTTGTTCGGTTTCCCTTCTCTCACCACTTATCAGGAGTTTGTTTTCCGTGAACAAGAGGATTCATGCCATCCCCATACTCTAGAAAATCCTCAAGACTTCCCGTAACTTCAGTCCAGGCCTCAAATTTCTGTTTCATGTGTCCCGCGAAATCCGTGCTGCCATTATCCCGGCAAAGTTAAAGTATCAATGTCTTTGAAGTTTGACTTGTCAGATTCGTTGAACGCTTCCGAAGGTAATTCCAAGCAGAAATCACGCCTGCATTCATAAATCTGGTTAGTGGGCTCCGCAAAAATCAAGCCTTCATCTACTGTGTTAATAATGGATAAACTGGAGTGACTAAGAGTTGTGTTTGTGGCAATACTATGATGCTAAAACAATACAACCATGTTAGAGATTATTACTGCTATAGATGTAGTTCGTATCATAGGAGATAATCTGTTCGTGTGGGTAAGCGAAATATTTTACTTCTCTCTTAGATGCTTTTTCTCGAAACCTAATCTGTCTTTGACGAAAATCCTCCGGTTTATGTATCAATGGGTTGTAAAGTACTGGTAGTGCTGCAGACTAGTTGCACTTCACCAATTCTTGCTTAATGAAATTTTCCTATGTACCCAATAATGCAGTGCTGTATTTAACCTGTAAGTACTGACGATAAATGCAAATTAAAAAGACTTGTTTACTAGGGGGAAAGTGTTCAGATGAGTCATTTATTTGAGTAAATGAAAAGGTAGAGATTATCGAAGGAAAAAGATCTGGGACTTATTTAACGGTTATGGCTTTGTGACAAACTCATGGAATGTACGTATAGATAGCACAACGGAAAATCATAAAATGGTGTTGGAGCCAGTTGGTGTAAGTATAAATCAATACAAAGCCTTTAACATTGGAAATGTGCAATATAGAGTACCCCCATCAGAAGGTTGGTGTGATACCGGCAACCTTCGATCCCAGCAGTTGACTGCAAGACAGGTAGTGACTTGATTGGGATAATGGGCGAAGTGGAAAATTGGTAAAACTGGAACTGCGGAAAGATCCATGGGGCGTCAGCAAGGGCCGACTGCATTCGATTCCTGGGATTCCGTGGCCACGCTGCAGTGAGAAAATAAAGGATGTTACTCATGAAAAAGAGGAAGACTCTAAACCCATAAAATTACCAGAAGCAGAATAAAGACAGAGGATATGAAGAAAGGAGGGGAAGGAAGTACATAATACGCCTTGAACAAGAAATGAAACTTTTTCTTTGTTTAATTATGATGGGGACATTTTTGACTTTTTCTGTTTATAAAGTGACGGGTGAGTTAAAACCGAATATATGGAGATCCTTGAGTAGGGTTGTTCTATATGTGGGATACAACAGTCGCTTGAAGGGTTAAATTGACCCAGTTAGCAAAATTTGCGTACCATTCAGGCCAGTACACACACTGACTAATGTGTCAGAAACACTTGGCTCAACACCTTCTGAAGAAACTACTTCACCAGGTAAATAAAGTGTGGTTTCGTAAACCGGCTTTGCTAAGATTCATTGTATACTCACTTTAAAAGTACAACAGATACAGAGATAGGCTAGAAGAAGAGAATCTGTTCATCTGAAGTTGTCAATTGCCATTGGAGAAGCTTTAAGTTGCCGATGAAAACGCCCTACTAGTCCATTAGATGCTAAGTGTTATGCTGTGGTGCGAATGCGTTTGCATCCCTGCAGTTTCAAAAGCTTTATGAAGGCTACGTTTCTGAATTGTTGCCCACGGTCTCTTGTCACCATCGAAGGGCATCCGAACACAGCAACCCATCTTTTCATGAATACTTGACAAATCGTTTCAGCTGCTGTGTCGGCAACAGGGATAACCTCCAGCCAACGAGTGAAGCGATCCACACACTTGAGTGAGTACGAGTAGCCATGCGAAAGAAGTAGTGGACGTACGATTTCAAGATGAACATTTTTAAAATGTGCATCAAGTGTAGCAAATGATCCAACCGGAAGGCACTGTGCTTGTGAATTTTGGAGAGTTGGCACTGTTTGCAAGAACGCGTCCAATTACGCATGGCTCAATTAACATCTGGTCAGACATATCTAGATGACATCAGCTTGTCAGTAGCATATAATCCAGGGTATTAAAGGTTGTGTAAACATTAAAACTTCGAGGCATAAAGACTGAGTAACAACAGGTCTTGGAATACGTGTGGACATTTCTCAAAGAATGGCGTTGCTTGAGTTCCAATATGTTTTAACAAATTTTACCTTTTCAAGCTCTTTGTAAATTCGGCACTTTCTCCTTTTATTCACATTCTCTCTTTCCCCTACGTCTGGTTTTGCCGGGAGAACCTTCCATTCAAACCATCGTATTTTTCATAGTAAGACCATTATTCTTTTCGTAATATACTGCAAATGCACATCATTGTTCTAAGTGCTGTATAGCCCCTTCCTTTATATATTCTCTAAATGCACTTTTAGTAATATTTCGGCCTTGTTTTTATTCGAAATGTTACAGTTAAAGTATAGAGGTTGTGATGATTGAATTAGCCTCAACTGTTGAAGCTTAGAATGCATGGTATGAATAATTTAATAATAAGCCTTGCAGTGGGGATTAGGACTAGTTTCATTTAGTCTTTCCGTCCTATGATCGGTTGAGTGGAAACTGCCTGTTAACATTCCGCTTCCACACAATGATTCACGTGATGATCCGTCATGCGCATTTTCCCTCTATGGAACCGACAACTAGTTCGAAAATTACATATCGGCATAAAAATCACATTGGAATCGTCTACATCTACCACTTCATTTGATGGAATGAGTCATGGACTACTCAAATTCAGTGCCGAATTAGCACCTGCTGGTTAATTCAGTAGAGTTCTACCTGCACTAAAAACTAAAATCATTATTCCCTTGGGTTCCCAGTGGAACATGGGGCTTCAACAAAGCACCTCCACTTTCTTCTGTTTCCTGCCATCCTCTTCATCTATGTCTGGTTGCCAATAATCTCTCATCTCCGCCTGCCCACATGATCTACTCCATGCAAACCTCGCACAGACGACCCACTCGTCGCTTCTCATTTGGATCCCACTCGAACAATGGCCTGGCGTGCCATGTAATTCTACGGTCTCCTCAGAAGTTTGCGAAGAGTTCTGAACTGTCATCCATTTCTCTTAAATCCTTTCCACCTGTGATGACTCCTCTTCCTGTATTATCTGTTCCCAGTTCATCTGGCATTCATATCACCCATGAGGATTTCGTTGTGACTATTTGGAATACTGTCCATCATTGTTTGTGGTTGTCGATGAAAATCTTCCCTCTTCTCTAGCTCCTCGTTGTTCGTAGCACTGGATAATTGTGACCTTCCTCCCTTTTGAGTTAAAACTTGTCATAATCCTGGTTGAAATTGGCTCCCACCGTACTAGGACTCTAGCTGTAAACGGCGACACCATGATAGGCACTCCCTTAGTGTGCCCGTGTTTTTCACCTGGTTGACCAGACTGGAGTAAATTACTGACTCTCTAGTTGACAATTTTGATAATCCACATCCATTCCATCTGCTCTCGCAGATACCCGGCACTTCTATGCCATATCTTGCATTCCTTTGGCAACCTGGACAGCCTTCCTGGTCCCGTACATTGTACTGACATTCTACATCCCCATTCCTGTTCTTGCTGTCATTGAGAAGAGACACATCGGCTGGCTGACTGGTTTACCGGAGTTATGGTTTCACCAGCTCGCGTCATTCTGCCTCCCCGATTCAAGCATAGAATAAGATTTTTATTTGAAGTTTTTGTATTCTTGATATATTTTTGTGCAGTTTGATAGCTTTTGTGGTGTAGGGATGCCAGCCTTATGCCCAACACTTCCTCTTCACCAAGACTTGGGACCGGCTCGAAAACTAGCAAGCCAGTTAACTAGGCGAGGTTAAAAACAGAAATGACGAGATTAAAATAAACCTGAGGCATCAATATGGGATTGAGGTCAGCTGGCCTATTGAAGATTTTATCCCATTCATATTAACAGAGAATAACACATCGACTGGTGAGAGTCGGTTTTACTCACTCGTATCGAAACACAGTATCCACCATAAATCTCTATTTCCGATTGACCATACAATTGTCCTATGCGTTCTTCAGATTCAGATTTGTCGCTTGAGGATAGGAGGTTGAAGCTTAAGTTAATCCTTTTCTGGTAAATTTGCATGCTTATTCAAAACCTTTACGAATGAATCAACTGAGAGCGCCGACGTTACTTCTTCTGGGAGTCGGTTTTAGGGGTTGCTTACTGGTTGTGACAACCATTGCTCCACAGCAATATAGTTTGTTTCTGTCTTTTGAATTCCCCTGCTACATCCTCTAGGGTGTTCCCACCTGGGGAGAAGGAAAAGAGAAAAAGGCCAAGTCCATAGTCGTTATTCAAAATTTTAAACACTGTAATTGGATCTCCCCCCTGCCTGCATTGCGATGGGGGGAGATTTAAACTGTCTAGCCTTTTCTCGTATGATTAATTGGTCCTACCAGGAATCATACGTGTTGCCTTCCTTTGAACCCATTCTAAAATATGTGAGCTCCCTTAAAGACAAGGAATGGCGGCCTGGATACAGTTTTCCAGTCTTGATCTCACCAGAGATGTATATGGGGAGGTGAACATATCTCTAAGACTCTAGTAAAGGTTCTGTGAATTGCTCAAAAAGATCTGAAGCGCAACAGTGTGTATCTAATGCGTATGGATGAGCATTTTGCTAATTTGACCGGGAGCACTCGTTATTTGGACCACTCTAAAAGTTTGTCGCTTTGCAACGTGAGCTTATCATTGCCACCCCGCAGCCCTGTACAGAATTTTAAATCACTTGTTGACCATAGGGGAATCAGTGAGCACAGATAACTCATTAATGTAAAAGGTGAACAAGAGAAGCCTGAGTATCTTACCTTGCTGCACTCCACTATATACTGCTGTCCAGGTGGGGTGTTTGCAGTTGGTCCTGACTCTCTGCCTCCTACCTACGAGGAATTCCCTGATCCAGTTTAGTAAGCTGCATTTGATACCAAAATTTCCTAACTTCGTGATAAGTCTTTTATAAGGAACTTTATCGAAGGCTTTGTTGAAGTCTATGAAAACCACGTCGACGAGTCTTCTGTTTTCCCTTGACCTGACCCACCTTTCACTTGCCGTAGGAAGATTTGACAGGCATAAGAGGTTTCCTCTGGACAACAACTGGTGGTTTACGGATATACCATGATAACTTTCTCGATGATTCTTTCTAGTATCTTGGTAAAGGTGCTGATGTGACTAGTAGGCCTGTATTTGAAGGGCATTACCTTGGTCTTCCTTTGTTGATGGGGCTACTAAGGCGTCTTTCCAATCGCACTGTAACACTTCATTTAAGACAGATAGCTTGGAAGTCATAGTCAGTGGCCCGGCTATCTCAGCCGATAGCTCCTTGAAATGCCTTCGATGAAGATAATCGGGACCCATTGACTTCCTTGCATTTCATTTCCTCAGAAACTTAAACATGATGTTTTCGTCAATGTCAATGGAGTCCATCCTGTATTCTTCTGATGCAACCAGGGCTGGTTCTATGGGGAGAGACGACTCCTGTGTAGAGACTTTGAAGAATTACTCTGTCATTGTTTCTGCTTTTTCTTGATCCTCTTCGATTGTTTCTTTGTCACTAGTCAGGTTTAAAACCCCATTGGATGTCTTATTCGTGAAGTTAATGAAAGACAAAATTTTCTTAGGTTATGGCGCTGCATTTTGAGTCGGAGGCTTTTCGAACTTCATCCTTAATTGACGGATTTCAGTAATAGCTTTATTCCTGGTGACGTTGTATAACTTTCTCGTCTCAGAATTCCCAGGTGTGATGATTCCAGTATTAATATTTACATCTGAGTAATTTACGAATATCTCAGTTTATCCAGTGGGGGACAATGTTTTTGACCCTCTGGGACAGACCAAAGGATGAAAGGTTCGGTTGTGTGGGCGTAGAGCTGATTAAATTGGTTCCATATGGCTTCTGCTTGGAGCTTTTGGCCTATTTACCAGTTCAGTGAATCGGCTTCTGCAGCTTTCCAAACGTTTGCCGAATTGGGGTTTGGGCCAATGATATTCCTACTTTGAAATTGAAGGTGATCACGCTGTGCTCACTTATTCATATAGGAGGAGGATGTCGTATGGGGCCAAAATCCTCAGCATGGGAGAACACAAGGTCCAGCGTGAAGAGGAGTACTGTGGGTTATAGTGCATGGGTTTTGAGACCTTTTGAACTAAAGCTAGCGAAACCCACATCTCCAGATCTCAAAAAACAACTCAGACCACATTAATGTACCAAAGTCCTCACCTTCTAGATATAAAACACTAACGGACCATATCATGTTAGCATACTTAAAACGAAATTGGGTTACGGCTCAAGGTCGTTTGACTACTCCCAATTGCAGCGTGACTTCAGTACACACACTCACCAGCGCTGTTTACGATCTTGTCTTCCTCAGTGGCAAGTCAACTAAAATATATTAGTCACTGCAAAGAAGAAATGTAAATGGAGTTAATTTTTCACGAAAAGGTAGATAACGATTAATGTTTTACTAATATGGAGTAGCAAGACGGTTCCTTATGTGCCCAACATTGCCTGAATGCACTTCTGCAAGGTCCTTATTTCACAGCAGTTGATTTAGCCAACATAGCTAGCCAGTTAGATGAACAAGAATCTTCAGCAATGGGGAGTAGTTGTGGAGCAATTCCCAGTTTCCAGAACATGGACGAAACAGGTTATTTCTCAGTGCAAGTGAGTTCGTTTAGGCAATCTGTTTGCTTTACTTATGCAGAGTTGTACTTTGAATATATTCCAAAAGTACGCGACATTGCTTTTGAGTTTTTCGAATACACAGCAGCGGGATGATAGCTTTGTGGATTATTAGTCATAATCATGATAGCGTTCTAAGAGTAGTATGCAACAATGTTGGTATTTTTGCTTTGAATAAGCCACTCAACTAAGTGGATTTTTCACTGGTCTCAAACTTTATTAACATATTTGTGATTTTTAAAAAGACCATGGCACCACTGTTCAATTGTCACTTCTATCTTAATGATTTATCGTTTCTATATCAATAATGTGCTCAAAGCTGATGTCATTCGTATTCATGCACCACTATACACCATTAATGTTCTGCCTTTCCTTTGTATTCTTCATAGTCTTGTAATAATGATTAAACAACTCTTAAGTACTGCATATTAATACCATACACAGTTTGAGTAGCCGGATATGAAGTCCTGCCCAAGAAATAAAAGTGAAAGTGAAAATACTTAATGATCATTCGTAAAAATACGCCATCCTGGACTATAGTACAGCAACACAGAACATTTCGGACTACCTGTCAGTCGACCTTAAGTACCAGTGATTTCTGTTGACCTCTGTCGATACTGCTTTTAAACCTATAGCCATAAGTGGATATTTAGACTTTTCTCATCACAAAAATGTTAATTAAAATTGCTCCTTATCGCTTTATTTAGTTTACCCTTCTGAAACCTTTCTATATTAATGGGTGATACTAAGAAACTGTGATGTTATTACACCCCTGTCAAGATACTACAAGTATATCAGTGTACATCGACATATCATTCAGCATTTCTCTGTAACAGCCTGATTCTTCAAATCTCATATCTGCATGTCAAACAAATAGAAGAAGAAGGGATCTATCGACTGACTCTCTCTCCTAACCTAGTTAATACTTACCGGGTCGCTTCACCTATCAAAAGAAACTAAACGGAAGAATGTCATAGTCCCAAACCACCACTTTTCTCATGCCTTGCACCAACAACTGTGTCGAAACCGTGCAGTAAGATGGAACGATCCAATATGCAGCACGCGTCCTTCGATGGAGAAATGAGTATCTAACGTAAATTACACAACTTTTTGGATAGCTTTTAGTATACTAGTTTAATAACGAGGATAATAGTATTGGATTTTGTTCGGGGTGTGTTTACTAGACATTCTTTTTAATGGGAAGCAATGCCACAGGGATCGACAGAATAGAATATTACTCTTAGATCAAGGAGTACGAACAATGCCAGTGATTGTGTTCGGAGTGTAGTCGGCACACGTAGGTTTTCTCATGTTCGTAGCTTCTGAGCATCATATAGTCATATGGGTCAGCATATTAAAGGTGTTCGTCACATTTATTCATTCATAATCAGTGCTTAAAGACTTTTCTACTTCCCTTAAATATATATGGCAGTTAGCAACTTGGAGCATTCAAGAGGATTCCCCTCCTTTATTTAATGCCTAAGTCGTGTCGGTAATCGCACCTATTTTCTTTAATAGCTTTTGATTCTACCCCATCATGAAAAATTACCATTCTTTTTTGAGTTTATTTTGTGCGGTAATAATAACTATCTTAAGTTTTCTCTTCTGATTCTTTTTTGGCTGTATAGTCAAAGGTGTCTTTCGCAAAATGAACTACTGAAACATGTAGTGCCACTTTTGCAAAGCAAATTCTATTATTACCATTGTTATTATTACTGACTATCTTTTACTATTAGCTCATGTTTTGTTCTCTTTAAAAAAACACAACAAGAATTAGAGGTGACTTTGCTACTGTGGTTTTAATTTGATTATAGTTTTTCTATTGCACTGGACTTTTGGGCTTTCTTGTACTCCATCTCAATCTGTGAAGTTATCACAACTAGTGATTTGATGAATACACTGATTTATCCAACATGACACTTCATACTTGCAATTACTATCTCTATATACTTTAATACGCTTTTCTGTATTTTTTCTTCTTCCTATGACCTTATAGGTTATTTGCAAAGCTCTGCAAATATGGTCTTTAGAATTAGTGCCTTTCTTGAGACAGTGTCCCGAAGCAGAGCTAGCCAGAGAAAATCCGGCTGGACAAAAAGCTTTCATTTGTCATTATCAGCATCACTGGTTCACGATAAGAAAGATTGGAAATCAATGGTTCAATCTTAATTCAATACTTCCTGCACCAAGATTGATCTCTGAAACTTATCTTACCACTTATTTAGCTCAATTGAAGGAAGAAGGCAATTCAATATTTTTTATTATTGGTACCTTGCCTGAATGTGAAGCTGATCAAGTATTATCTGTAAGTTTGCAAATCTTTTCATACTGTTTGACACTATTTGAAACTTTTTTTTTCAATGTTACGCTTACAAGATTTAATAGTTTCTCTTATATCAAGTATGGAAGCTGCTGTAGGCAATGTGTTTCTTGAATTCAGAAGTATCCTTTTCGTATGAGACGCATTCATATTCTTTTGTGTTTTTTTGAATGGTAAATCTTACAGTGTGCATTCCATTTTTATTATCACTGGTATTATTTTTGTTCAGTCTTTCTTTGATATCCCTTCGCTATCTATACCTGTAGTATTATAGATTGATGGGCAGTATTCACTAATGTATCTTTCATCAGTTTCCCGGAACTAATTTTTCATGTATCAGGCTACAAACCAAACCTATTGTGTGAGGGTTGGAGATACTATCTAGTGGCGCAGACCGTAGTACAATTATTGGGTTTCTGAGTGGAGATTCACTGGCTAAAAGTTGAGTGCTCAAGTCATTTAGCCATGTCTTCACATCTTTTTAAGTAGTCGTAGTCAATTGTATATATTATATTCAGAATCTATAGAACTTTATGAATATTCTTGAATGATTTCACTTCATCATTTAAGTGAAAGTGTTCAGATCATATCACCCCAATTTTATGCCACTGAGTTTCGTTAACCATTGGTTCTTAACTTTCTGACGACTCTAGCCGGGCACTCTATACCTCCACACATGGCTTAGATCGCTAATCATTGACTTCATAGATTTGTACCACGTTTTGCTTGTCTCATCTTAGACATTTTTTCACCTTAACCTTTCAGCTAACGTTCTTCGTCAAAGAAGTTGGCGGCTAAGTAAGATAGAACTAACTAATACACGGTATATCTATTAATGCGAAGACAAATATCGTGCTTACAAGAAAGATGACACAATGTAGCGAATTCCGAACGATATGTTGTCAACTATCAATCCATGAAGACTGATGAAACTTCAGAAGTCAATGAAGTGGTCACCATATGATATTCAACTATTTCTTTCCTATCCTCAAACTAGTAGTCAGTGTAGACTAGTCGTTCTCAATGGCGCAGATGCATCCACTCCTTGTGACTTATGATTTCAAATGAAACTATATCGTTCTTCGTTATTACTATTCCTTTGTCTCACACCTCTGTTTACTGTCTCTACTATGCATTTCTTCTACTTTCTTCTCTTGCTTTGTGTGCTACATGGAGTGTGGCGACTTGAACTGTCGCACATCGGTGCAAAGTTCTATGTCGAAAACAGACAGAAAGACAGACAGTCGTGCAGCATCATATTTTAATATGACAAGGACCAGTCTCAGGCCAAAAACAACTGAGATTTTTCTTCAATGTGTTTAGAAGACTAGATTTTATCAGTGTCTTCAGGTCAATAAATCAGCGGTATGGAGAAATAAAAAAGCCTAAGTGTGCTTCTAGCTTGACGTCACTATAGCAGTTAGTGTGTGGAGTGATTAGTAAATCTTTTTGATCAGATATAGCAATTTTAAATTACTGAATTTTTTTGTTCAAGACTTAAAATTAATATCATTAAATCTATATTTGTGGGGGGAGGTTGATTTCTAAAATTGTCTGTTCATTAATTTGTGTGATGCTAGCTACTAAAGGTTATGTGGCTTTTAGGCATAAGTTATAATTAGTATGATATTCTAAAATTGCTATTCAAATCTACCGTGCAATCAATGAAATTCCCCTTAAACTTTTCAGCTGAATAATACTTCCTACTAGTAACGAAAACGATTTCCAACAGGTTGCAAACTTTCGTCAACAACTGCCTTCTCTGGCTCCATACTGAAGATCAAATAGCCAGAAAGAATAAGTAACAAGAAACTCTGGCTGGGAACAAACCAACCAAGAGCTGATCTCTCAACACACATGCAGGAGAAAATAGAGATGAATCAGGCATACATTGAAGAGGCCGTCGAATGACATCGCTAGGCCATTGCTCTAGTTGAATTGAAATGGGAAGCGACGAGTGGGTCGTCAGTGCTAGGTGGCTCGTCATCACGGTGCACTTTGATTTGATGACATTAAATGGTTGGCGGTAATCGGCAGGAAGCCTTGCCAGGCCCTAGGTTTCGTGCTAGGTAGCACTCGCCACCAGTCAGCAAGATGTACCTGCAACCTTGATAGAATTCATGTCCCTTCTGAGATTCGAGCCCACGTCGTCCAGTGCCGCCTACAGTCAGAGACGTTACCACTGAGCTATTCGGGCTCTCGACTGACCTCCTGTAGGACTGTATTAGATATTTTTGATTGGACACTAGTCAGTAACTAGTGTAATGTGTGTGTCTAGTCCTGTCTTTGGTGCAGACTGAACTCGATCATTCAAGTTTGCAACGTGGCCATCATGCCACTAGGTGGCTCAGAAGAGACATGAGTTCCTTCAAGGTGATTACAGATAGGCCAGGCTGACTGGTGATTGACAACAAGCATGAAACATAAGTCCAAGGCTTCCTGCCGATTACCGCCAACCATCTAATACTTAGTAGATAGGATGGTGGCTTTCCTACATCGTTAAGCCGCAGACGTTTGAAATAATAACAAGTCACTAATTTCTGGCACAATGGTTAAAAAATGTTCTCAGTTGGTTGTGTTAATTGCTCCTCTAAACTAAAATGAATAATACTGCTGACGAAATGCTCTCTGTTTTACATTCCAAAAGGTTTGTAATCATTCAGAATCCTTATTCTGTATGCGTTAAAATTTGTACATTACTATATCTAAAATTGACTGCAATTAATTGTTGAATTTAAAATACAGTATGAACACTTCCGGAGTTTCATAAACATTGTTTTTGTGTAAATTATCGTCTTTTAAGAAAACTGATTATATTCAGTTCTTCAATATCCATTGTTATGGTAGCCCTAATAGTGATATTTTAGAGGCTATCATTATGTTTCCCGACTGACTGACTGACTGACAGAGTTTCAACATGGGACTTTGCACAGAAGAACAGTAGTTCAAGCAGCCACACTCCATATATCACACGAAAGAGATACAAAAGAATTAATAATGAGCGGAAATGTGCGGGAAAGAGAATAGCAACATGAGAAAATTTAAGGGTTTTATGCATGTGGGAAAACGACATTAAGCTATGCCACTAATAGCCTCCAGCCAATTGGTTCTTAGTATCCCATGTACACCAATCAGGCAGTCTACACCTCCCTATGTGATTCAAACCAATTATCAGAGGCTTCATGGACTGATGCCGGGTTTTCGTTTGACTATCTGTAACTCTTCTGTAGCCTAGTCCTAGGTCAAGTAATTCCATTGTGGATAAGGTTTATTTTGATAAACTCTCACAGTATTACACATTAATATTTACTGATGACCACGTTTCCAGCACAATTCACTACTCATAATCTCATATCAAGGCATTACTCACACAACTTTACAACTTCCTTTATATAGTTCCATTATTTTCCATCTCTTGATTTGATTGGTAGTAGTATTTTCCACATTTCTGGTATGAGTGATGAGTCATTCCTATTGCACGTGTTGGGTGTAGATCATTCTATGAACAAAGATTCAGTAATCAACCTCTCTCTCCACCTACCTATATTACTTTTTAGAAATTTGACTCTGTCCCACCCTATTCTGTGGTGCTGTGTTAATGCATGCAGTGCTATTGCTGAGCTTCTTTTCTAAATTACTCATCTGTCTTCGTGAGATCAATCATTTAAACCTTTACTAAATTCTTATGTTCTGATAATCTGACTACTCGCCATCTACTAGTTTGACTTAACTCACAGTCATTGTAAGGTATTTTGTAAATTATATTATTTTGTCTAATTGGGTCAACCGATAGGGTCCTTTAACCTACAGAGCTTGTCCTGTCTGAGTGAGTTTGTAGGTTTGAATGCCACCAGCCTAATTCCTGCTTTATCAAGAATCCTACGTAGAGAGGGTCTCAGATGTCCCCTCCTTATATGGTAAAACTGTAGACGTCTTATATTCTTTGTTATTTATGTTATCATTATTAATTTAACCATTACTTTTATTTTGGTTTTGACCTTTTCTGATCTTCCTAATCAATTTTATAGGATAGTTATTTATTTGACACCAACGCTTCTTCTTCTATCTGTTTCATTTCATCATTTAGATTTTTCGATGTACTACTTAGTGCTACTACTCAGTTTGTTAGACAGACAACTAAGCCTGCCTTCACAGACAGATGATGGATGAGATGAATTAAAGTCTAAATATCTATTAGCAGAATGCGTTGGCATTTTATAAACACCAGTGTGCACTTTACCTTCGTCTGTTTGTTTTATTTCACAATCTAACATCATAGCTAATTCTCCTTGTTCAAACTCTGTAGGTTAAAGGACCCTGTTGGTTGACCCAATTAGACAAAATAATATAATTTACAAAATACCTTGCAATGACTGTGAGTTAAGTCAACTACATAGGTCGAACTAGTAGATCAGGGGTAGTCAGATTGTTAGAAGATAAGAATTTAGCTAAGGTTAGAATGATTGACCCAGCAAAGATAAATAATTTAGAAAAAAGAAGCTCAGCAATTGCAGTGCCTGCATGCATTAACACACAATCACACAATAGGGTGGGTGGGACAGAGTCAAAATTCTAAAAAGTAATATAGGTAGATGGAGAGAGAGGTTGATTACTGAATCTTTGTTCATAGAATGATCTACACCCAACACGTGCAATAGGAATGACTCATCACTCATACCAGAAATGTGGAAAATACTACTACCAATCAAATCAAGAGATGGAAAATAATGGAATTATATAAACGAAGTTGTAAAGTTGTGTGAGTACTGCCTTGATATGAGATTATGAGTAGTGAATTGTGCTGGAAACGTGGTCATCAGTAAATATTACTGTATAACAACACTGTGAGACTTTATCAAAATAAAATTTATCCATAATGGAAATATACTCTACCTCTACAGTGCACAAGTTCTATTTTTATATCTAGGTGAAGTAAAATTGCTCATTGAGAAAGACAGTGATTCAGAATGCACAGCACATTTCCTAGTTATCTCAATCGATATAGCTGGGATACTTACACCTCTGTTGTGATAAATGTGTAAATTTCATGTTTGTACACTTAACAAATATATGTTTTCTCTAAGGTTTTGTTGAATTCTTTTCTCTCTTTTTTTTTCTTCAATTAACTAGATATGTCCTGTTACTGAGGACAATGTGATCAGGTATTCTTTAGCTCAACAAGACAAAAGCAAAAGTCAAGATGATGTAGAGGCTGTTGTAGCTATGAGTCAGACAGAATTTGATGAAGAAGATGTAACACTTAAACGTGTTTTAGAATCTTCTGAAAATGACGATCCAGATTTACAACGTGCTTTACAAATTTCAGCAGATGTAAGTGTAACTGTTTTTCGTGTAATACAGATTGTGCATATTCAAGTAATTGGTTTTTGTAGGGATTTGATTGATTGGTTACAGGATTTCATGATGAGCTGACATCGGTTAGAGAGAATCATTGGAAAACAAGCTGGGAGTACTGCCAGACAGCTGTTTCGTCAGCCTAGTTTGGGACTCTTCATCAGTTCGAACCCAGGACCTTCTGGTTAGAAGGCGAGCCAACTCGTAGACCATTAAGCCACTGGGACTCGACCGATCCAATGGCCAGCCCATGAATTCTAACTTCTGCCAATTCATGACATAGCGCGACCGCTAGCCAATGTCTTCGGCGATTAATTTGTCCTCACACCCGACCTGCTGCACCCTACTGGTCACGACTTCCCACTAGAACCCAGGTAACTATTTACCTACCTGAATAGGGCCAGTTGCTAGTGAGCATCTCATTAATATTCAAGTATTGGTTTTTGTAGGGATTTGATTGATTGGTTACAGGATTTCATGATGAGCTGACATCGGTTAGAGAACCATTGGAAAACCTGGACTAGCATATTCATTCGTATTTCTCAGATAGCTAAGTTAACGCACTGTTTTTTAAATTATCTCTTTAGTCTTTTTTATATGTTGTCCTGATATTATGTATCAGTTCCATGATCCTAATAGTCTTAATCAGTTTTCAGCTATTCATTTTTGTGACTGAGAAAAATGATGTATGGCGCAATACACTAAGGAGTTTTATGTGGTCAAGAATACTTCATATAATTCGATCGATTATAAGAGATTATATTTCATATGCGCTTAGTGATAATTGTCTTCCAGCATTATCACAGTGACTTCAATGTTTATTTTTTGTTAGTTAAAAAGACCATCTCATTTACCTACCTAGCATATGAATGGTGTCATGTCGTCTGCCTTCTGGCACTCTGAATGCTACTGTGCTGGTGTAATACAGACAATGGGTTCCAACGAAATATTATTCTCACATATTCCCACAGTTCATTAGCGCATTAACAGCAGAATACTAAAAATGTATTTGAACACTCTAATTCATGTCGTTCGTTGTAAACCAAAATCACACACTCAGTAATTAGTTAAAGAATATAAAACTGTATAGATATAAATAACTGTTTGATCATTTGAAAATATACCTTGGCTTCCGTGTGTTACCCTCTTCTGTTACACTACTTACCCTTGTGTATCAGTACACAGGATAAAATTAATCCCTAGTTCGGTAAGAAAAAAGTGTCTACAAAGAAATATTAATATTGTTTGAACTTTTCTTGATGGGATCGGGTCTACGAGCTCGCTCGCCCTGTAACCGGAAGGTCCTTGGTTCAAACCCCTGTGGTGGGTGTATAATGCAGAAGAGTTCCAAGCTAGGCTGACGAAACAGCTGTCCAGTAGTACTCCCAGCTGGTTTTCCAATGGTTTTCTCTAACCGATGTCAGCTCATGATGAAATCCTGTAACGAATCAATCAAATCCCTGCAAACCAACACCTGAATACCAAAAATATATGTCATATGAGTCAATGGCTCAAGACATTATCTGATATGCCTCGTAAGTAAGTGGCGAACATGTTGCAGTTCTCTCTTTCTGCCTCCCTGGAGGTAATTACGTGGATATGTGACTCACTGGTTTAAGCACACCCGGTTTTCAGCTATAATGAGTTCCTTGGCTCAAATCCGACTTGATCTACTTCATTGAGCCCTGAACAACTGACTAGAATATTATCAGTCTTCACACAGTAAGCGTGGATCGTGATTTCTGGTACATAAAAAGTCTGTTCTGTCTAACTTAGTTTCAACGTAACAACAACAACTAATTGGAGGTAATATAAAGTGATAGACACTTTTGATGGATGCACTTAATAAGTGATGTCTGCCTATATTGATTCTGTTGTTCTTGAACTGTTTTATTTCTTTTCCTAATAAAGTGGTTTTATTTCGTGTGACGTATCTAACTGGCTGGTTTCAACGTAGAACTTAGCACAGATGTGCAGCAGTTCTAGCTGCCACACTCCCTCCACGTACCACACAGCAAGAGAAGAGAGTAAAGAGACATTCATAAACAGAAATAATAAACAGAAGTATAAGTGAGGGAAAAAGAATAGTAATGTGGAAGAACCATCGAGTTTTATTGGATATGATGAATTACAAAGAGTGAATGCATCTGCGCTAGCCATTGAGAACGATTTTTTTAGCCATATCACCAATAGTCTCAAGCTATTGTTTTTTAACATCCCTAGGACCCCTACCACACAGCAGTCAACACCTTCCTACGTGGCCTAAACTAATTGTTATGGATTTGATTGATTGATGAAGCCACATTTTGTTTTGACCACCACGTGCTAGCTCTTTTTCCATCCTGAACCATCCTATGTCAGTCAGCTAACATTGCTCGTTGGTCGAGGAAAGCGATCGATGGCTAGGCATAAGTAACACATGACCCAACCATTTCTCTCAATCAATGTAGTAGCTTCACAACCACCTCGTCGATTGATTTCCCCTCCCACCTACCTAGCACTTGACCACGGATGCCTAACCTCAATATTGCTCACCTTATCATACCACCACTTAACACGGGAGATAGAACGTATAATCCCGACAAAGAGGGAAAGTTGGGCATGGGGCTAGTAACTCCATGCCGTAAAAGAACACCGCTCCTGAAATTTCAAAGCTGAAGCTTGAAGCCCTATGTTCCACTCGAAACGCAAAAGGAATTAAAATTATATATATATATATATATATATATATATCGTGCATTGTTTAATGGATACATCATGTATGTTAGTCCTCAAAACACAGCTACTGTTACCGAGAGATAATTCATCTTCACTGTCTTCGCTGCAACTTTTCTACAACAAAAAGATTTTAAAAAAGGTGGGATATAGTTTTCGCTTATTGCTGTGAATAATTGTCATTTTCTGCACATGTAATCATTTTATTCATTTATATATCTATATTTTTACAGGAGAATAAAGATATGTTTGACATGGAATTACAAAAAGCAATATCTATTAGTTTGACAGCATGTAAGTGTCTTTTTTTTTCTCTCTCTGTGCCTCTCTCATTATGAAATGACATATGTATCTCAGCCTATAAATGTAATATCAGATGGTAATAAATATATAATAATATATATGTAACAGCGTTGATCGAGAGGTGATTTGTCAACTACTTCGCTACTACGGGGTGCCACCGACAATTATACATCTCATCCAACAGTTGTACGACAATGCTGCATGCCAAGTAATCCACAACGGGAAACTTACGGAATCCTTCGAAGTGAGGACAGGAGTAAGACAAGGCTGCCTACTATCACCAATGATTTTCCTGATTGCAGTAGACTGGATAATGTGACAAACAGCGGGCAATCAGGAAAAGGCATAAAATGGACTCACACAAACAACTTGGAGGATCTGGACTTCGCCGATGATATATGTCTGATTTCCCACAAACTGGAAGATATGCAAGCGAAAAGCAACAAGTTGGCAGAAGAAGCATCAAAGATAGGACTTCAGGTGAACATAGAGAAAACAGAGGTGATGAAGATTCCTGGTCAACAACAACAGACAACAATCGGCATAAATGGGAGGAACCTGAAAGAAACAACCTCTTTTACCTACCTTGGAAGCATCGTTTCAACTACAGGCGGAACTGACGAGGATATGAAAGCAAGAATCGGAAAAGCAAGACAAGTTTTCACTACTCTCAAGCCTGTGTGTAGGTCAACAGTACTCAGCGTCAAAAATAAGATCTGGATTTTCAACTCTAATGTGAAGTCAGTGCTACTACATGGATCAGAGACTTGGCGCGTCATAAAGAGCACCTCAAACAAACTACAGACCTTCATAAACAGCTGCCTTCGCTCACTACTCAAGATCAGATGGCCAGAAAAGATAAGCAACAGAGATCTCTGGGAGCAAACCAACCCAGCAGGAACCGACTGTGCAACAAATAAGCAGGAAGGAATGGAGATAGATGGGCCATACTCTGAAGAAACCATCAAGTGACATCACTGGACAAGCCCTCGATTGGAACCCGAAAGGGAAGCGGCGAGTTGGTCGTCAGTGAAAGGGTGACTTGGAGGAGGTCATGTGAAGAGATGAAAGCGTGTGGGCAGACTTGGAGCCAGGTGAAAACTCTAGCAGAGAACCGAACGCAGTGGAGACGTGGGCGGCTGAAGCCCTATGTTCTTCTAGGAATTAAAGGAAATAATAATAATATATGTAAAACTTGGGCACTGTGGTAGTAAGTAATTCCATATTAGTTCGTTTATTAGATGTATCACACAGTGATGAAACAGTATTATCTACTGGATGACAAAGTTTCGAACAAAATTTATTGTTCATAAATAATCATATCAATTGTAATCACACTACTCCGAAACTTGAGTTTTATAGTCTTCTTTGTTCTCTCCTATTTGTCATCTCTGGGGTAGTAGAATTTTCCAGATATCTGGGTGGACAGGTGTTGAATCATTCCTGTTACACGTGTTCTCTTCAGTTGATTCGATAAATAAAGCTTCCCTTGACATCAATCTCTCCCTATACCCTGTGACATTAGATTTTAAAACTGTCATCTTATCCCATCCAGCCTATTGTATGGTTGCGTGTAATTGCATGTGGTGTAGTGCTCTAGCTGAACTATTCTCTAGATTTCTTATCTTATTCGGGTCAAGTAGTTCATATAATAGCATATAACAACAGTAAAGAATAAACATCAAAGCCACATGACTTTGAAACAACCAATCAGATTCTTCTAGGCGAAAAGTGACATTTAATTCATAAAAAAAGTGTATTTATATGAGATATATGCAATAAAAATGAATCATACAGGGTATATATCTCTAATATGTTGCCAAAATAAGTCGCAGTTTCTCATAGGAGTGGTGGTTATGGACACATGAGACCAATGTCGATACAAAAAGTCATCTAAGTGGCTATATCCTATATCATTTCGGGTACCATTTACCACCCTAATACGTTTTTTCAGGTTCCACTTATAGGATCCACCAATTCAGAAGGATGATTGACTGTATGATGAATGTAGCTCAGTGATGATAATTGCAAATAACCCCTCCACTCACCCATGTGAATGGTAGTGCCTGGGAGGACTAGTTGTTGTATAATTAGTATTAAAACATCGACACTTCTGTTTGGGATGCGTTCTTTAACAGCAACCCTTTTCGAAGATTTGCGTCGTACAGTCCCAGCACCCAAACATGATTTGCTCTTCTCCGACCACAATTTGTTTTTTGTTTAATAAGTACCGTTTTGTCAGTATGAGCGACGATATCAATTCCTCAAAGTACAGAAGTAATCGATCTTTTGTAACGCAATATCCTCAGAGTGCTGATACCACTGCACTATTGACATTTTATTATTCTCTGTTTCTGCAGCTATAGCAGATACTGGTCGCTTCAGGTACCATTTTGACATATACGCAATATTTTACTAAAGGGGGGAGTTTCGATTTCGAGAAGAGTGTCTAAAAAATCACCATAATGTACGACTTATCAACTCTTACAGACTTCCTCATGCATAACCATCAATAGCCCGGCAATACCTTTGCAGAGTCATTATCCCTCCACATATCCATGTTTTAGTGTCCTGCCTATCAACCCATTTTCCACACAGTAGAAGTCAAAAACCAAATCTAGGTGAAATTTGCAACGAAGGTTATGAAGAAAAGCATCCATTTGTAATACCGAGCGATTTGATTGGTTGTGGTTGGTTCAAGGTCATTTGACTTTGGTGTCTGTTGTTTAGTTTTGCGGGACTCTCATACTAATTGACAAACTTAAGGGTTGTTTGTTAACCATACTGTCCAAAGAAGAGAACCACATTAGTTTGAATTCAAGTATTGATTTGCAGGGATTTGTTTGGTTTCAGGATTTCATCATTAGCTGACATCGGTTAGAGAGAGTCATTAGAACACCAGCTGGGAGTACTACTGGACAGCTGTTTCGTCCTACTACTGATGAAGAGTCCCAAACTAGGTTGACGAAACAGCTAGCTAGCTGTCCATTACTCTCAACTGGTGCTCCAATGGTTCTCTCTATCTAACCGATGTCAGCTCATGATGAAATCCTGAAACATAGTTTGGAATGTCTTAAACTACAATGAAAGCAGTCCATTTTATTGATAGAACGACCTAAGTAACATCTAACACTAGTGTCTACTAAAATATAACCGGCCGAGTTCAACTTTAAGCATCACTAACTACCAATGGAGTGCGAAGTCATCAATGACCTTGAAACGCTCACTGAGCAAGTTAGTGAAACCTGGCAAATAATATTGTCATCATCATTAAAATATGCTCATCGAAGTGTTATGCTATTCAGTGAGATATCTGGGAAATTTCAGCTTAGATTCGGGAACGATTAAGTTACGCTAAAGCGTAAGGACAAGTTAGGGTAAGGTTAACCTAATAAAGGCGAGATTAGGGTTGGTTCGAGTTAGATTACAGTTAGTTTAGGGATATTTTCACGTTAGGGTTAGGTTCAAGAAAGATTAGGGTTACTGTTAGGGTTAGAAGACCATAATTAATTACATGCTTAGAATGTGGTTAAATTTCTCTGTTGATATAAGAATAGAACATGTGTACTTTGGTAGAGCATAATTCGATTGTGGTTAAAATTTAATTTGATAAAGTCTCACAATCTTATATAGTAATATTTACTGATGACCACGTTTCAAGCACTTTATTGCTCAGTAAAATATTACTGTATTACACTATGAGACTTTATCGAAATAAATTTTACCCACAATGGAATTATACTCTGTTGATACTCCAAATTAAAACTGATAGCTATCTTTTTATCACATGTGAGAGGAAGGTATCCTCTGTAACACTTTTCTACAGTTTTTATGCATTTTTTTTTCATAAATATATGTATTTCATACACGAAAATGCCTCCTTCACGTGATTGGTGCGTTCGAGGTCATTCACTGTGATTGGTAGTATAGTGGTGCTTAAAGTTTAACTTTGCTACATAACCTTCATATCTGAGAAACACTGTCAATGTGCATATTATATATATATATATATTATACCGATTGTCTGAAAATATTGTTTTACTCATGTTCTATTTTTATTTTTCGCTATGATTGGCAACACATCTCACAGTAGGTGGTGATACTAATTCTGGTCGGGATGTAACTGCAGTCGTCAGCACAACCACAACCACTACTCCTCCTCCTCCTCCCACTACTACTACTACTACTTCTACTAGCCATACAACAAACAGAACAGTAATACCAGCTGAAGAAATTCGTAGAAATAGACAAGCATTTTTAGATAGATTCTCTTCTAACTCTGAAACATAAATATTATATATAGAGTTGTATAATCACTTTTTTATTCCCTAAAAGAATATTTCTGTGATATATGTATTCCTTTTCTGTTTTCAATCAAACATCGATTGGCCTTCCTCTTCAATTTCATTATTTGTGTGAAATACAACAAGAAATGCCTCTTATTTTCTCTTCTTCCACTTCTTTTAAATTAATACCTAATAGATTGGCCTAATTAATTGTAATAATAATAATAGCTGTGTACAAATATTTCTTTTGCTGTTTTTCAATTGATTTGAATTCAATTGGACTGAATGTTTTCTTATACATCAAAAAATATAAGAGTAAATTTAGTGTACACTTTTTTTTTAAAAAAGAAGAAATTATTATCCTACACAGTGTTTTGTAATTGTAACTTGTTTTTCTTTTGTCTTTTTGTGTATATACCTTATTTTATATCATAAATGGTAAATCGATGTTGTATTCTCCAGTCCCCACATAAATCGATCCGTACTTATTTGTTCCAGGCAGATGGTATAAAACATATCCAATCCATAGAAGACTTTTCACTAGAACAAGATTACTTCCACGTTCAAATTGGATAATCCAACAACCTTGTTTTTTTAGAAAATAAAAGGTGCAGAAATTGTCATTTTAGGTTTTAAGTAGTATAGTACAATTGATTTTTGAAAAGAAAACAACAAACAATGCGTTGTTTTGTCACTTGGAGGATTTCATCATGAGATGACATCAGTTAGAAAACCAGCTGGGAGTACTGCCAGACAGCTGTTTCGTCCTAGTTTGGGACTCTTCATCAGTACGCACTCAGGACCTTCTGGTTTCAAGGTGAGCGACCTCGTAGACCATTAAGCTCCTGAGACCCGATCCCAATAGCCAGCTCATGAATTCTAACTTCTGCCAATTCATGACATAGCGTGACCACTTCTCAATGTCTTCTTCAATGAGTTACCACCTCACATTCAACCTGCTGCACCCTACTGGTCACGGCTTCCCACTAGAACCCCAGGTTAACTGCCTGAATAGGGCCAGTCGCTAGTGAGCATCAAATGAATTTTCAAGTATTGATTTTTTGGTTCTCTAACTGATGTGTCATCTCATGATGAAATCCTCCAACCAATCAAACTAAATCCCTACAAAAACCAATACTTGAAGTTTTAGACATTTCTCTTTCTGTTGGTACTGGATTGTGTTCAGAGGTATCAAATGTACTTGAACAATAAGAGTGAATTTCTCTGCAACATGCTCATCGTTTTTGCAATGATTTTAGAATCTATAGTTCTGTAAAGATTAATTGTGGCTTAGAAAAATGCGAATCCGTCAAAACCAGAAAGGTTTGAAAGTATACTGGACTAGGATGGTTATGAAACGCGAGCTTACTTACTACTAGCAATTAATTGGTTGCATGTAATTTATCTTATTTCATGACCTAAAGGCGACATTTCACTGCGTCGAGTGAGAGGGTATCGAGTAGTACATTTGGTCACTCAGTGTTATAATTGAATAAACCCGTTGCCAATTTGTTATGTTTGCGCCTGTTAATTATTATAACGTCAATGAACTCGGCTGGTACGCTAATATACCTCTATTTTTCCGTTGTACCATCCGATTCACTGAGCCACGCAAAAGACAAAGGCTGGCCTGTGACTGTATTATACATCAATTAGGAAACAAAACATATTTATATATTTAATTTATCACAATACAGCTCACAACCGTGAGAATGGATTGTTCCTATTGGCTGGAAATAGCTATTCTCACTGGTTGGCAATCCGACAGAGACTAAGGTGAGACAAAAGATGATGAAGTGATCTCACACAATATGCATGAGGAACGATACATTCACATATAGTAATTCCATCACAAGATAAATCACATGACTTGTGAGAAAGGATGATATACTATTTTATGCTGGTTCCTATCACTCAGTTTATTCCATTCGAAGTCATGATGTCAAATTTAAAGTCTAAAAATGGTTTATCATCGAAAGTTTTGTATCAGCCATGAGTAGTTCTCCATGTCACCAGTCACATTTAGTTTCATTATAGGTGCACTATTATTATTATTGTTCCCTTGGGTTCCTAGTGGAACAGGGCTTCAGCTGCTCGTCTCCACTTGCTTCTGTCTTCTGCTGTACTTTTCACTTGCATCTGTGTTAATCCATACTGTTTCAACTCTTCTTCACACGACCTCCTCCATGTCACCCTTGGACGTCCCACTCATCGCTTCCCTTTCAGCTTCCACTCGAGGGCCTGACGCGCGATGTCACCCAGCGGCCTCCTCAGCGAGTGTCCAATCCATCTCCACTTTCTCCTGCATATTTGTTGGGCGATTGGTTCTTGTTTTGTTTGTTCCCATAGTTTCTTGTTGGCCATCTGATCTCGAGTATAGAGCAAAGACAGTTGTTGATAAAGGTCTGCAACAGGCTGTTGGAAATATTCTTTGTGACCCGCCAAGTTTCTGATCCATACGTATAGAAGAACTGACTTGACGTTTGTATTGAAAATCCGAAATTTGTTGTTGATGCTGAGTGACGAAGATTTTCAGGTTGATGAATGTGTTTCTCGCTTTCTCGATTTGACATCCTCGTCCGTTCCTCGTGTAGTTGAGAGAATGCTCCCTGGATAAGTGAATGAAGTCACCTCTTTCAAATCCCTCCCGTTGATGGTGATTGGCGCTGGATGTTGCTGCTATTGTTGTTGTTGGTTGGTGCACTGGTTGTTCGCAGTATTTTACTGGTAACAAGAGAAAATTTTTTAGCGATCTAGAGTATGTAGACGGTGTTATCCGTTTATGATTAAGACAGTGATGAAATCTTTTAAACATACTTAACAAAATATCTCAGTATGCTTGGTATGTGTTATTTTCACTGTCATATGTAATATGACGCTGCAGGATTGGTCTGCATTTAAGCATAAAAGTGAAGTGAGTGAATGGGCTGACCGCATTGCTAATTTCTGAAGTTAGAACAGTTCTGGTATATCTACTGACAACATCTCAACACTCAATCAAGAGGCTTACTATACATTTGCCTTGTTACATCATTCGGTGTGGGGGTGTTAAAGGGGGTTTTGACGATAACATGTTGATCTAAAACGTGGATAGTGACATGCAGGCATATTCTGTATGCTAATTCTCCAAGTTTAGCAAAGATGCGAGTCAGTAAAAATTTCTAAGGTAATGGACACTATTTGCAATAAAAATGTATCGTAATTAAGTTTGTGGTACACAGTGCTGAATGTATCACTGACTTTCCTTTGCTGACCATACACGTTCTGGCTAAATAAGATGGATGCAAGGTCCACAGCCCTGCATATTTTTGACTTCTCACGAAATTAACCTACCAACCTGGATAAGTCAATTAACTCAGTTTGCACAAGTGATGTAGCACTGTTATATTAGTTGCTTTATAAAATATAGAATACCTCCGATATATTAAGTATGAGTCAGAACATTTCAAATGCAGGTGGACTGTCTGATGCCCTTGTAAGCTTTATGATAGAGTGGAGTGATCAAGTAAAGCGACCTTGTTCATTTGTCCGGAAATTTGCATCAGCTTTCAAGATGCTGGTTATACACGTATATCTTGTGTCTGCTGGTTTATATCGACTGTGAGATTTCCCTGTACCTTTAAAAAAGTCAAACATATTTCATAGCTGTTTGAGTTCTTATTTTTTTAGTTGTAAGGAATGAATTATTGTGTTAACGATATGAACGTTAATGACGTAAGAAGCCACTGGATGATAATGCAGTAAGTCTTTGGTGAGCCCAATATGTAAGAATTACGTAACACTCAAAGATGAACTCAACTAATGAAATAAGACTAGACTTATACGAATTCAATGAAAGAACTAATTGGTGAAGTTTCTGAATGCATTTACAATGGTTACCAAAGTGGGCAGTCAGAAATTCCGTTTGTTTACCTATCACTTACTGTAGCTGTATGGATATAAGTGTAATGCGATTTGATTTGAAAGTCAGTATTTTTCGTAGTTTGTTAATTTCGTATAAATGTTGAGAGTGTGTAGGTAGGTATTTCAATTTATATTCAAATTATCTCTTCTCTTGTGCTCGAGAGAGTCACAGTGACAATCACTGCACTCTAGAATTACTACAGTTATCCATGTAGTATATATGATCTAAGGAACCATAGCTGATTTAATGAGCTATTTTCTGTTTCACCGTTTTAAGGTATGTACTTAAAAAAAATGGCTTGATCTCTGAGACAAGCATATGACTAGTGGCAGGATCAACCAGTTTATTCCTATAATGGTACAACCATTGACTGGGTATTGGTTTTCAGATGGACCGAACACACCAATCCCTGCCTCTTGCGAGACGAGACTGGCATACAGTATTATACTGTAGCGCAACTACTCGAGAGCCCTCTCCCTTGGTGGACCACTCCCACCGTTAGTATACGCAATAGAGTATAGTTACGCCGATCATTGATAGCGTCAGTCAATTATGCACTGCATAAACAAGCCAAGTAGTACTCATCTTGCATACAAGACCAGCCAAACGTTTTATTATAGGCAAGAGCAGCACGCATAGCGATGGTATGGTGACCACAGGTCCATATAAACGAAGACAGTAGCCACCAAATTCAATGAAATCGTTATCCCTACCAACCAATTTAGAATGCAAAGTTGTGAAAAGTCGGATTGTAACGTTTGCTCCTGTTAAATATCATGACCTTACCTTTTGGATTATCATCTTCAATAGTATCTAGGAAATCAATGGCTTTATCCAGTCTTGCGCGGTCAGCTAGTGGCTTGTGAGGCATATGTATTGGAGGTCGACAGTGAAAGTATGAAAGCTCTTTTGAGGCTTCTGCAATGGTCAAACCTAAAAACTCTTCTTTCAATATATTCACGGGTTTACCTTCGAAAGATTTGTTCCTGACAACCTGACCGTTGGATAACCTCAAGTACGCACCGCGAGGAACGATAACTACCTCTTCTTCCATACGGTAAATAATGGCAGCAAGTCTATCTTCTTCTTTCATAGTAATC